CCCTCCTTCCATGATCTATAAACTTTCCTTTCCTATCTTTCAAAAAAGATAACTTTTTGAAACAGGTGTGGAACAGACCAACTAATAGAAGTGCTTTGCTGGACCTCCTACTGACAAATAAGGAAAAACTGGTCAGGAATATGATAGATGGTGTCAGCTGTGCTTATAATGGCCATGAAATGGCTACGTTTGGTAGACGTTTGGCCCAGAATTTCAGAAGAACAGGCTTCAGCCTGTTCGGGGAACTTGTCTGCAGGATCCCAAGGGACACTGCCCTGAAGGACAAAGGCTGCCCTGAAGGGCAAAGGGGCCCAGAAGAACAGGTTGTTCCTCACATGCAACTTCCTTGAAGCACAAGAATGGTCTCTCTCAGTGTGCAAGAATTCAAGCAGGTCTGGCAGAAATGAAAGTTAAACTCATACAGAGCTGCATTAGCACGAACGTAGTCATCCAGTTTGAAAATACCATTATTTCCCTTTACGCAGCACCTGTGACATCATATCTGGAAAACTGAGACCAGTTTGAGACCCCCTTGGTGAAAGGGAGATACTGAAGTATGCAGGAGCTTTATCAGCAAAAATATTATAAAATACTTCCCAGATATCACTGGGGTCCTTTAAAAGGGAATGAAGATCACTAGCTTTGTATGCAGTGCTGAAAAAGCAAGGTCAGTAGGTCAGTAACAGAAGCAGAATGAGAGCCCCAGGCTTTTTGGTAGTAGTGACACGAGTGGCTCTACCCCGTAACACAATCCTGCTCTGACAGAGCTGCCTCTTACCAGGATTTATACAAAGGAGAACAGCAATTGAGCACTTATTGTCATTTACACCATACACAACTGTATCTTACACAGCAGTGCGACATCTCCCCAGACTTTTCAAGGTTAACAGAATAGTGTCCCAGAGAGCTGCCCTTATCAGCTGAATCCTGGGAGGGTGCATTCTCCATAGTACATGTGGGTTAGGAGGAAGGAGGGAATTCAGTTATTTGTTATCTTTCATTTACAGAGGTTTAGAGCTCCCACTTACTCATATGTGACAACTATTTTGTGTACTCCAATCACATCCAAAACATTTTTCTTATACTGGTCACGTGAATTTGCTCACCGTAATCACCTTTTTTTGTCACTGATTAAAAAAACCCCACTCCTTAGCTTAAGCCCTTGAGAATACTATAAGGCAGAATCCATAAATATGGATTCTTTATCCTGCTAAAAAAGTAGATTGAAATTGCAGTGTAATTTCATGATTTGCCCTGGATTTTTTTTATCTTAATCCAAAAGTAGCTTTTAGAGTAGCTTATTGACTGTGGAAAGAATTTTCTCCAAGGCAGGCACTCCACAAGCCAAAGAACAGAAGCATGTGCTTTTTCTGTCTTTTAACCATGATTAATATAATTTTTGGTCACAGAAAATGGAAGAAGTACCACATCCTTTCTATTCTTTAATTGACTGAGCAAACAGTATACCCACCAGCAATGATGAAAAAGCCTCCTCCTGCTTTGTACAGAATGTGGCTGGCAAAAGGAGCTGCACAGATGATGAAGAAACTAGCCATCACAATAGTGAGCACTCCCAGGAGCATAAGAACTGTCCAGAAACCTCGATAAACTGGAGAAAAGGAAGAAGGAAAAAAGGAATACAACACTTTTTAGAACTTAAACAAGTGACATATCTGGCTAATGAAGATTTTCCTTTTCCTCTTCTTTTTTCATATGACCTTATTAACAAACAAAGCATTCATTCTATTTTGCATATCTATCATGTGGACCAAATTAGGTTTGAATGCCAGTCCTTATCTTGTGATCATGGAAAAATGGTTGTAAGTTACCATGAGTGAAATCCATCTGCTTAATATTTAAGTGATATGTACGACAGCAACTTGGCCAAAATTATGCTCTTCATAAAATGCTACTCCAAAGCTGCAGCAAGGATCCTCTGGGATAAATGATTGGACTGACAAGATGCAATTGTTTCACCAGAATTGTCTGGGAGAATCAGAGAGCTGTAAGATCTTAACATTCTTAGTGCTCAGACCATATCACCAATAGCAATCCATAAATTCTCTACAATTTACAACTGGATAATTCTCCTCACATATACAATAGAAGGAAATCTAAAGCAAGAGAAAGGAGAAACTAAAAAAAAAAAGTAAAGCAGTTTTCTGAACAACAGTTAAGTATTTTAAACTGGCCTATTCCTGCTCTAAAGCTCTTCCCATTTTATTAAATTTAAAATGTGATGTTTCAGAAGCCCCTGTTAGTGCCAAGCAGTGCTGAATGAATGGATGCAGCTGGTGATAAATGAGCCGAGAGTTTTGTGACATACTCTGGCCAAAAGAGTCTTTCTAACAATTACTTTTTAGCTGGTTAATTGCACATCCATTTAACAAAGTCATCATTTTACAAATGCTACAAGAGTGACATAAATTTCTCCCATGAATTTAAAAATTGGTACATTAACACAACCCATTAGTAAAATTATGAGTTGCAAAGATCTCCATCGTCAGATCTGAAAATCTTGAAGCACTGACAATTCAGTCAGTGAAAAACATTTCCACCCAACTGAGGGAAAGCATATAAGCCAGCTGGCAAGTCAGAAAAAGTGAGTCACAAAAGAAACTGCCACTTATCATCTGGCAGCACCTACTTACTGTTATGGCAAAACACAACTAAGCAACTATTATACTCATTCATATCCTGAAAGTTTCAAATTCACAGAGCTTGTTAAAGCCAGCTATTCTGGAATAATTCAGGTTTGCTCTCATCTGAAATCTGAAGGTGCACTAGACATTATCAGCTCCTGTGTCCTACTAATGTGTTCCAAAAATCTTTAGTTTTTAAGTTCTCCAGCTTAACTCGTGTTAAAGTATACACCACCTTGCTTCTATCAGCCTTGTAAATGTATTAGCTAGATCACGTTCATTGCATCACATTAGCCACGCTTTTTAAATGATATCCTTTTTAATTCAGGCAAACATTCAAAGACATAATTTTCTGCCACACTGATCAGCAGATTTGGGCATGTGAAGGATGAATGTGTCTGAAAGTAGCTGTCAGAAGGGTTAAGACTGTGTTTTAGTTCATATCCAATACAAGTATTCTTTCCACATAAACAAAATAATGTAGAAATAGTAGGTAAGAAATAAGGCTGTGGCTCAGGAAAGCAGTTAAGTGTGTGTTCTGCTTTAAGTACTCCACCTCTTATGGGATTTAAGCACCTGTTTAAAGCTAAACACATAGTTAAATGATTCACTTAAAGCAAATGGACAGTGAATGGAGACCTAGAAAGGTAAATCTCTCAAGTCCTTCAGTCTTGGGTCTCTGAAGCAATTCCATATTATTTTACTCACGGGGCTACTTAGCTAAGCTTCATCGCCGTCCCCAAGTCCATGCGACATTACTTCCTCATTTAAAACGTAATACCGCTAAATCAGTTTATAACCACCCAGCTCTTTTACATGGATGGCCCAAGGTACTTCAAAGTCATGCTACATAATAGGACACATTGGCCAAAATGGACCTTGAAAAAGCTTTCTTCAATATCATTATGGTCAGTCACCTAAGTCATACAGGAGTATTTCTATTTTCTGAATGGATGAGGACACAAGCTTCTCCAGCATTACAAAATTAGTATACAGTTTCATTATCTACTCTTCATACAGGAAGTTTTGAAGTCTGATTTTACCAGAAAAGCTTGATTTGGTCAAATATTCCTGGAAACTGAACACAAAAGGAGTACAAATGTTACTGATGAAAATTTGTTAAAACTCTCGATAACTATACAAGAGAAAAGCTGTTTCTCTGCTCTAACAGTATAACTATTTTATGCTTTAAATGTGAAATACTTATTTGACCCAGCTATTACCTGAAATGAGCTTCCATTCTATTTCTCTAGAAATAATTACTTACTCTAGAAAACCATGGATAAATTCTGACAATCTACTTTTTTAGCCAGCTAACTCTGTCATCAAATGTCAACAAGAAAACAGAGTAGAGTTGACAAGTAAAAAGTCTCCAATGTTCCCAAACCAGCAGCTTTTCATGTGAAAGATTAATCCCTCTAATCTGCAAAACACTAAGCCATTAGGATGCTTTGAGGCACAGGTCTGAGGAAACATCTGAAGAGCATTTAGACTTTTTCTTTAGTAAGGAAGTTATAAAGCAGCCAACATTCTGCCAAGACTTCACTTATTTCACACTCGAATAATTTTTGCTCAGACCACATTTCCCATCTTCTTTACCTAGATGGGCAAGATCAGCTCCCACAGGGCTGATCATTTAAAATTACAATACAGCCCTACTGCTGTCATTTAGCTTAGCTGACACCTATAGATAAACACAAAAGAGCTGGCTGAAATTAAAACTACGTAAGAGTGAACTTACTCTTCAAATTAAAGGCTTTACTGGTCTGATTGAGGTGAACCATGAGAGCTAAAAAGCAACAGAAGATGCTGATTTGCATTATGCTTCCTTAAATCCCATGAAAAGTGATGACACTGTGATCCAAGCAGCTTGTTTCAAGAAATAATGGTTCAGTGTACCTATACAAGGTGCTAAGAAATGTTTGCACCATTTCAAGTCTCACTGAGGCAGTTCATAAGAGAGTCCATGTGCTGGATCAGATGACAAGGAGTACCCTTGCCTCTGCAAGGTACTTCACAGATACATTTGAGTGAGCTACCTCAAGTACATGCATTATTCCAAGTATTTCCGACAGCAGAGGAAATAAAGTACAAATGCTACTGCAGAGTCCGAGGTAAATCTATCTGCAGTGTTAATCTCAGATACCATAGCTCTGTGTTGCAAGAGCGCTAAACAGAAGGTTCTGTAACTTGCCTTGGTAAGCTGCCCCTTCAGCGGGTACAACATTTGCTTTGGCAGTGACAGACAGGCCTAAAAATAAAATAGTACTTAGAGGAAAACAGGAGTACACACAGTATGCTTCTCTTTGAGCTCTGCACTGTTCGGCCAGTGTACTAGGGGAACGTTATAGCTGCAGTACATTCCTCCAAAATTGCACGACCTGTAATTTTCCCCTGCTTCTTGCTTTTCTCCCTAAAGATCCTAATTTAGATTCCTCTGGAGACTTCTGCATCATTTGAAAACTAGAAGTAGTATCTGGTTTTGAGTAAGGAGCCAAATTTTAGAGAAAGGGCTGAAAATTATCAAAAGCTCTCTTTCACATTACAGTCGATCCCGGCATTGATTATAAACTGAAGCCACAGATTCATATTTCAAGATGTTACTGGCACACAATATTAAAGAGAAGCAATAATATATTTGACAGTTGCACAGCTGTGTCACCTACAATGCATGCTTGCTATATAGTAGCTGTGCTCACCTCAGAAGCTCTGCAATGGGTTTTTCGGGAACAGGTTAGCTAGTGACACAATGTGACACCCACCTACAACCAGAGATGTTAACACCAACCTCATGAAACCATACCACACGTTATTGCCCTTGCTGACTTCAACTGAATCTCAGCCATTAGCCCATACATTTTCTATGGCCTATCAAAAAAACCCCCACCAACCCAGCCACTTAATACTGAATTCAATATCTAACATGAATTATTAAGCCCTACAAAGCTGAAAAACTTTCTGAAGCATGTGAGTGTTGCATAAACATTACTAAGGATAGTAATGACAAAATTACTTGGAAAAGCTGCCTTGAATTTTCAGCCACAAGCCCACATCCTAAAGTCAACCTTCCCTGTGATCTGAGTGTGGATTGTGCTTTAGAATATGACTTTTTTACTTCTCTGTTTAAGACAAGAGACATCAAATTGCTTTTGACAAGAGGTATCAGAATGCCACACATAATATAAAATACCAAGAAAGATGAAGTGCCCGAACTGCTCTAAATCAGGAGTACCGTCTCTGCAGATAAACAACTGTAAATGGGATCATAGATCTCATCAACAGCACAGGAGAAATACCTGGCAACACAGCAAACCTTGAAAAACTTTTCTCAGTTTCACTCAGTACTCTTTACTATCCCTTAGTAGTAATAATATTTTTTAATAAGCTTGAAAGTAAAACAAATACAATATTCACAGTATGAATACACTGTGGTTTTTTTAAATATTTCTTGCTTTATCACTGCTTGGTGGCTGGGGGAGTTCTCCCTTAGTAAATGTACTGTATTACAATCTCTTATGGGCAATTATGTGACTATACTACATAACTGCATTTTCTGCCCTAGAAGTAGACTACTGCTAACATTTCACTGTATAATTTTTATTTTCAGATTTCACTGCTGATATTTTCTAAATTACTTTAGGTTTATTTCAACCCAGAAACAAACCTGCCAATAAATTTGATCCCACCATTTCAGATGTAATAGTTGCTGAACCAGAATTTTGCTTCAGTCCTATAAACACTCTGTATTCTACATTATATTAGGCACTACTTCAAATGCTGGCAATGCGCCCTGTACTGGACAAATAAGACACTAATGGTCAGGAAAAAAGTACTAGCAGCTACAAATCAGAGTATTAAACTAATGGGTCAGCACAACCCCATTAAATGTCTTCCAATTTAGCTTCAGAAGGCACTGAGGCAATTTTCAACAGCTAAGGAACTATTGTTTATTTCCAGCCAAAGTAAAACCCAACAAAAATAAAATGAATGACTGGACTAAGTGCTAGATTTTGCATTTCTTTTTGATAGGAATAATCTCACTATAGACAATGGGACTACTTATATGAGTAAGGACATTGAACATTTTTCAAAAACAGACCTAGCATTGTCCTGTAGTAAAAGAGAGTTTTATAAAAGTGTGATTGTCAGTGTTAAGTGTCAGTGTTAAGTAATCTAATTACATGATACCATGCATTATTCTAGCTAAGAATGAATTATTATTTTAGTACTATATTATTATGTTTTCAAAATAGCCTGACGGGATAACCAGTCTGATTATGAATATACACATGTGTGTTTATTTTAGAAAGTACAGGTCACTACTCTGGCACTTTTATTGTATGGGATATTTATTTTATTTCTTTTTATTCCTAGCTTGTATTTTGTTGCACATGTTTGTGAATCATCATATAAATGAATGTGCTGGCAAAACAGTGAGGTGCTGTCTAAGTCTACTTCATAGCTGCACACTATAGTAGCTGTCAATGTAAACCACTGTACCATCACTGAAAGTCACCAGAGTCAGGCTGCCCCTGAGTTAATTTAGAAGCCTATTTCAGGTTAAGATAAATGACATGGCCTGCGAATTTCTTTAAGTGCATTAAGCATAAATGATGGTTAGCACAGCTGTGGACCACACCTTATACTTCAGGTACATGAAGTCCTCCCCACTCCACCAAGATATTTAACAAAACCAGTGAATGAACAAAAGCATTATAACTGTGATCAAAAGACACAGAAAACTGCCATTTTAAAGCAATGCTATCTAACCTCTTCAAAACTGATCATGCATCTGAGAGTAATGATGAAAAGAAATCTGAGACATTAAAACATGCATTCAAATGGGAACTATCACACAAACGTCATAAAACCAACATACAAAAATATGTAAATAAGCTAAGAGGGGATAGATTGAGCCTTTTTTGAATTCTAACCCAGAGAAGCTCTGAGCCTAATTCCTAATGATACTAAAGCCAAAGGAATTACGTCAACAAAAAACTTGGTCCAGTCGCTTAACTCAAAAATCATCAGAGATTTAATGTTCCTCAGGAACCATATCTTTGCCTGAGCCCTTCTAACTGGATATAACATGGCATTCCATCAGCAAACCACACTTGTGTTTCCATGAGGGTCTGCAGCTAAATCCAAATCCCCCCGATAAGGTCTCAGTGTCTCTTAAGCTACACATTTTGTAAAAGAAGTCGTGTTTTTGAGTGCTCTGAAATTAGCAGTTCTGTTAACAGAAAGTTAGAGATTTTTAGAAAAATGCGTTGCACATACGTTTGATTTTTCTAATGAAGTTTAAAGCTTTTTATTCAGCTGTTTTTCTATGAAAGAACAAACTAAGTATTTTTCAGATGTCAAAATATTTCTTCTTATCCACTCCTAATTAAAATAAGACTTGAAGGACTCAATAAAAACATAGTGATAAACCTGTGTGGGAGGTTTATTTTTTATCCCCAGAAGCGTTGAGAAAGCTATGAGCCATGCAGCAGAACCAAAAAAGGGACAATAACGTCAAAGGTAGTGCCCTTCTGTTCTATGTTTAGTTTATGTAAGGTATTAGATGCAGCCAGCTGGATGTACAAACAGTTGATGAAAACTTGTTCTTCATTAAATCAAACTGAGGGCTTTTGCCAATGGCTTTTACAGAGAAGCATTTCCTCCACTGTGAATCAAAAGGAAGAGGATAACCTTCTAGTATTTCTTAATTTAGCAACTACAGTCGCAGCAAAGTTTTAAAAACGTATTTGCCAAGAATCATGGGCAGGACTATCAAGCTAGACTAAAGGAGAAACAAGTTTTCAACTAACAGAAGAGACAATGACATAACCTTCTTCATAAAAAGTTGTGAAAGGTTCTTCAACAAGCATACTTGCCTTAGTAAATAACTCAGCTTGGATGCTGAAAATGAACTGGAGGCATAAAAAACCCTCTTCAGTTTTAATAAGCTCAAAAGCAATCCAAATGTATCTATTTATATAGCAGGA